CAGTCACTGCCAACGGGAGCAAGTACACAGGATTTGAACCCGACCTTTCTCACACACACTTCACACCACACACACACACACAGCACACACACACACTCACTCAACAGGTACTGGCTGTACTGTTTGTCCCCACTTTCACCATCACTTCATTCCCTTTCATCAGTGCACTTAAAAGGATCTCAACACGTTTCTTTGTTTCGTAGGATCAACGAGCGGGAAAAGGTTAGGGGGAGAGCAGGTTGATAAAATACGGGCGGGAAAAGCCTTAAAAAAACCTTTTGCCAGGCCACATTGCAGATTAGCGGAGCACTCGATCTTATGTGTATTTCATACGGGGGTCATAAGACGACTGACAGGATGCTGAAAAGAATAACAGGAAATAAACAAGACAAGTAACTAATTTGGAGCTTGTACAGTTCCTGTCTTGACCTCAGAAACAGCTAATTAGGTCCATTTACTCGCTTTAAAAAGTCGATGCTGAACAGTTGAAAGAGATTTTGTTCATGTCAACTTATTTCTTCGCTTGCAGTGTAGTTTTTTGAAGCTACTAAATAGTTTTATTAGGAAACAAATACGACAATTTTAACCGTTCTCAGACTCATCCTGGAACTGTGATGACGGGGTCCAGGCGAGTAGACGTTGTTAGGGGTCACAAGCGTAAGTTAATGTTATGGATCTTTAGTCTGCTCCACTATTTAAGTTTTAGAGCTAAAATGATAAAATAATTTATTACTAAAAAAAGACATTTGCTGGTTCCAGCTTCTAAAATGTGAACGATTTATAGCTTTTTTCTGTTTATAGTGTTCTACTGGATATTGTATCCAGTTTATATTCGGTCCTGTATCGATACACCCAAATGTGGTTTTTGATATTAAAACAGATTTCTTTTCCTGTATTAAACTCGGGAAAAGGGGCTCTCCAGTACAGTTTAGCAATCATTGTATTTTTATTTACTCAGTGTTGCATTTCTAGAATTTGCGTTCCACAGATGGTTTATGTAATAGTGGTCTAAATATCGGTCTCAAAAAACCCACGTCGCGTCAGATTCTAGAGTAAATAATGGTGTTCTTTGGTGCCAAAACAAACAATTTAGAAACTTTTCTACTTGGCGTTATCTTTACCAAAAATTTGGCGCGAGTAATTAAAAACAAACCATTTGTTATATAAACAATAAAACGTGTTTTCTGTTGACCATTTACTTCATTTAGTTTTTTGATTGGTTCAATTTGCCTGTATTTTGTATTAAGCACTGTTCCAAAAGCTCTTAATTCTCGCCCGTACTGGCACACCAAAGCTGGTTAAAGCAAAACACTATCACACTGTCGGCAAACATTGTTTAATTAAAGCTACCACATAGATAGAAGTGGGAGAAATTAGGCCTTTTGTTGTGTTAAAATTAGATGAGATGGAGGGCTACTATCGTAGTTAGTTAGTAGTACTCTATGGGGCCAACCTTTATTCTGAGAAAGCCATATGAGGAAAAAAAAAAACAGAACTTCCTGTTTGAATACAAGTACAATATTTCCCAAAACGGATTTCACGATCATTATCACATCAGCGCCACCTTCTCTACTTTTGAACCGATCACTGTATAACCTTGTTTCAATGCCGTTAAAAAATAAAACAAGTTTAATGTTTACTTAGCTGAGATCAATAATCTAAAGTAGAAACAAGAGTATTTTTCCTGTAACAGAGAACGCAGAACTCAACTCTGGAGCCTTTTTATTTTACTACACACTCGACCTGCCTCACACTGAATGAGGGGAACACACACGCCAGCACCACCACACACACACCACACACACACACAAAGCCAAGGCTGGCTCAGAAATGAAAACACACACTTCACAAAAGGTCTACTTTCACTTTTTTTTTTTCCTCGAAAAAGACAATTTTGTTCTGAATACAGTACCATCTATGTCTCTCTACCTCCCTCACTCTCTTCCACACACACACACACACACACCAAACCACACACACATCTCATTTAGACCAACGTGCAACCCAGCTGTTTAGCCGTGTGCCATGCGACTAATGAAGCTGCTGCTGCCGCCGCCGCCGCCCGCAGGGTTTCGGTTTGAGAGCAGATGCATCCTCTTAGTTCCCATGGTAACCTGGCTGATATGTAGTACGCTAGGAGAGCCACACACACCACACAACACACACGTCCCTCACCACACACACAACACTAATTCACAGGTAAACAATGTATTTCTCAGGAGGACGGACAGGTCTGGTGTGTGTGTGTGTGTGTGTGTGTAGGTGGGGGAGAGGAAAGTGAGTTTATTTCAGCAGAAGCCCGGAGGTTTAAAGGTCCCTCATCGCGTCCCTCATCAGCGGTTCATTCTGACCTTTGACCCCCCCTCCTCCTGCCAGGCGACCTCAGCGGAGACAGGACAAAAGGTGAGGCACGCAAAGAGTGCAAACGGGAGTTTCTTTACAGGTTAGGGAGTCTTATGTGTGTGTGGATAGAGGGAGAGAGAGAGCATGCATGTTTGAAGTGTCTGCGAGTGCAAAAGTGTGTGTTTTAGTGATATTGTATGTGTGTGTGTGTATGTGTGTGTAAAAAGTGCATTCCTCATGTGTGGGCCTTCAACCCCCGTGACCTCCTCGTGTCCTCAGCAGCCAGAATGATAATAACAAGTCTTTTATCAAGTCTTTTTCCCTCTCATGGCCGGTAAAAGTCTCTGGGGGCCACAGTCAGGCGGTGAGGTCTACAAAGCTGAAAACTAAAAACAAAAACAAAAACAGGGTCCTAATGTCAGAGATTAGAGCCGTCCAGGAGGCACACGTCCTCCTCCTCCTCCTCGCTGTCGCCTCCCCCTCCCCCCCGGCCGTCCTGGAAGGAGCGGATCAGTTGAACATGATGGACTCGGGATCTTGGTTTGCCATTTGAGCCATGTGACGAAGGATATCTTTTTTTGTGATAATACCAAGAAGCCGCCTGCAGAGGGAGACAAAGGAGAGGGAGGAAAAAGGGGGGAGGAGGAGGAGGAGAAAGAGGTTTAGAAAAGTGAGGAGGTGCTGGTGGGTTAGCAGCTGGAGTGAAGGAGAGAGAAAAACATCGTCATGTTTTTGTTGGCGAGGTTTTGACGTCTTCAATCAGAAGGAGAAAAACGTGATTTAAACTGGATTCAAATTTTGGGGTTTATTGGGAGTCACAAAATCAATTTCTGAACATCGATTGGTGAGCCAACAAAAACACAAAGTCCCTGAGGGAGCAAAAGTCAGCAGGAGGAGAGGAAGGAGGTGAGTAACCAGAGGTGGGGGGGAGAAAAGGGATGAGAGGAGGTCTGAAACAGCACCTCCTCTACCAGAGAGCAGCGTGCCGTTTCAGACGCCGCCTCAGCTGTTCTATGTTATCGGTCCAATAAAGCTGGTGAGAAGGAAAATCTGGATCCTACAAGGAAACAGGAAGTAGTGAACAGGAAGTGGAGAAAAAGTTACAACCTCTGAGGAGGAGGGGACGTCCTCGTCACAGGAGTCTTTATTTTTCCAGCATGTCCCACAAGGGATTTTTTTAATGGGAAACACTAGAACTGTGTTATATCATTTGTTGACTTGTGTCAGTGTTGTGATTGTCTGCCAGAAGTTTTATGGTACACCTTTTAGATCTTGGTCGTTGTTCACTATATATTTTACGTTAGCAGCAGTCTGTCGGTTTGTTAGCCAGAAATTACATATTGTACGTTTATAAATGTCCCATTTCTACATTATTTAAAAAAAAAAGAAGCTAACTTTTATGTAAAAGGATTTTACATTGTGTCTCTAAATTTATTTAACAAGCTCTATTTATATAAATTTGTATTTGATACAAAGTACTTTGGCTACATTAGTGTCTGAATTGTCTGTATCAATAAATAAAACTGCCTTTTATTGATAGGAGAACACCCATAGGGGCTGTTGCTGTGTGAGTTTGAGTCTACAGCAGACTTTTAATACCAATCTACATCATAACATGAGACATTTTGACTCTATAAATCCTTAAAATCTACTATAATAATGTGTAAAACATACTAGCTTACATTAAAATAACAGTGGGATTAAGTCTGACAATATATCTGTGATTATTTTTTCTTTGGGACTTTGCTTTTAAATGTAATTCCACAATTACATTGGTTTAAAACTCATGATAGTGTTCATAATATTACACACGTGAAGAGTTTTAACCTTTTTTATGTTCTTTACTCCTTTTATCATTCTTTTTAAAGTGTATTATGTAAAGCACCTTGAATTGCCTCTGTGTATGAAAGGTTTTATATAAATAAAGCTGTAGAAACACACCCTTTTACAGCGTACGACCAGTAGAGGCCGCTGTGACGGGGACAATCAACATTTACACGGTGCTGTGAGCAATTTTTGACTCATGTGACAGAGCTGCCTCCTCCTCCTCCTCCTCTTCTTCTCCCTCTTCTATAAAGCACATTTACCTGATCGACCCAACTAACAAGACTGCAGGTCTGACTTAGCAACACGTTTCTAAATATTCAGTTAGATTATTGCTGCTGATTCAAGAGCACGTCACAGGCTGGGATCATTGTAGAAAAAGTGCTTTGGATTTGCGAGCCGTTTAAACATTAGAAATAACCACAAAGTGCTGATGCTTGTGCTCTTGAATCCAGCTGTGAATGTAGTCTGAGGTCAAGTGAAGAGAAGCATCTGAAGCCACACAGCTGAAGGAGAGCAGAGCCGGGTCCAAAAAAAAAGCTCAGGTTTTGTTTTAACACTGTCAGACGTAATGTTGTTAAGACGTTCAGCTTCATTTGAACCCTGGAAAAGGTGAATAAAGGTGCAACGAGAACGAGTGAAAACAAACATTTGAACCCAGGTCTGAGTGAGAGGAGAGATGACCTGTGAGTGAGGTGGGGGGGGCGTTAGAGCTACTGAGCAGCAGGAGGCATGAAACACTGGTGAGGCGTCACACGGATCAGACTCAGGTTTCCCAACAGCCGCTGAGGTCTACGACTCGGCCTTGTTCATTTTAAAGGCACAGTGAAACAAACGAAAGGCGCCGAGTCATAGAGGTTTTGGGAATACCGGGTACTGATCAGAGTGTGTATGAGGGGTCAGCGGGTTGAAGGCAATGTTCCCTGTAAGCCAGCAGTGTCCAGTTCT